AAAACGGAGAAAAATGGAAAAGGCAATTGCTGGTCAATGAGTCATGCCACGTCACCGGGCTTACTTTTCTTTTTAGTCTTTCCAAAAAATATCATCTTTTGATATTTAAAAAAATTAACTTTAAATTTTTCTTTTACTCTTAACGAGATGATTTATAACCACACAAATATTTTAGATCACAAGTTTCAAATTTTTTTCTTTTTCTTAAATTACTTGCCTAGTCAAACGATGTCACATAAATTGGAACAAAGTGAATATTATTTTCCTAGTGTAGGGTTTTCTTAATTTATCTAATTTGAAGGAGGGGTCCCAAAGGCAAGTATGAAACACTACTTATCTTATGACTGTTATTGGCCTACAATAATGGAGGGTCAATAATGTTAGAAAGAACATGGATGAAGGATTTTCTCAATTAATAAATTGGAGCTAGATCTTACGTTGCAATCTAAAATAGGTAAATATCAGTCAACAATTTACATTCAAAGTGATCAACAAAATAAACATAAAATCTTTGGAGATTATCATACAAACAATAGAGACAAAAATATTTATTCCTAACTACGTGAGCATTAATTGGTAGGCAGAGTTATCCTATACATATACCGATAAACGGTAACAAGTATATGATAAATAATTGAGATACAAGTAAGTTGGTTCGGACACCATTATTATAAAAATAAAAGTATTACAACCTAAAAGTTTCATTTGTAATTACACTATTTTAGTAATTACTGTCAAATTTAATCTATTATCCTTAACAATAATGAGAGAAAAATGACTGTCTGACTGTCTATCGAGGAAAATCTAAATTGGGCAGTCCTTGCCAAAAAATAAAGAGAGAAAAAAATTTAGATTTGGTGGTTCGTACATTAGCCATTACTCTCTGCATATATAAACCTGTGCATTAATACAGAGTATTCCTGCATAACTACCTTATAAATAATACAGAGTATTAATACAGAAGTTCAATGGAAAGATCTGAGCGGAAAAGTAGTGATGGTGACAGGGCGTCCTCAGGAATTGGGCGAGAGTTGTGTCTCGACTTGGCGAAAGCCGGCTGCAGCATCATTGCTGCTGCTCGTCGTGCTGACAGGCTCAAATCTCTCTACGACGAGATCAATTTACAGGGCCCCACCCCGTGCATTCGCCATGGAGCTTGACATCACCGCCGACGGTGCTACCATTAAGGCCCCCGTACAAATAGCTTGGGACGCCTTCGGAGGTATCGATGCCTTGGTTAACAATGCCGGAGTTAGAGGTTGTGTATTATAAGCTTCTATATTAGTACTTGTTGATAGTAATTACTCCTCCCGTCCCATTGATGTTGTTTGACAATGAAGAAAAGACTTTTAAAATTTAAGGTCCAAAATAAGTTATAGATATTTTTTTAGTTATAAATCATCTTACTAAAGATAAAATGAGAAGTTTAAATTAAAGTTACTCCTAAATAATTTCTAAATATTGGAAGATACCATTCTAATATTTATTCTTACCTGCAAGCATAAGTAAGATCAATCCTAGTTGGTCAGTCCCCCATGATATGGCTTCTTGCTTTTTATTGGTACAGATCGAAAAAGAAAGTGTATCATATAAATTTGGACAAATTAAATTACATAATTTAAAAATTTTCTTGGCTATTATTTATTTTGTCATATATATGCCTTATATATGCATAGGTAGTGTGAGCTCTTCGGTGGATTTTTCGGAGGATGAGCGGAACCATACCTTTAATACAAACCTAAGAGGGGCATGGTTGGTTTCCAAATATGTTTGTAGGCGAATGCGCGATGCTAAACAAGGCGGAGGATCTGTAATTAGTACTTCTTCAGCTGCTGCTTTGAATCGGGTAGTGTATCCGGGGAGTCTTGCTTACACTTCTTCAAATATGGCGCTTGACATGCTCACTAAGGTACGTACTTATGTACTAGCTAGTGTTAGTAGCAGAGCCTACTGTTAAAATTATACTGTGCCAATAGAGTAAAAAAACTTAAATAATGACAAGCAGATGATGGCCGTTGAATTGTGAGTAGACAAGATTAGAGTGAACTCAATTGATGGGTCCATCTCATTCAAAAGTCAAAATAATAGTCATGTGTCTAAGGAAAATATTTGGCTGAGAATTTCTTTGGTTTGATAGCTAACTTTCTTGAATATTTTTGGTTTGGTACTCAACTTTGTTGAATTTCTTTGGTTTGGTAGCCAACTTTGTTGAATTGTGTGTTACATCTAAGTTTCAATGATGACAATTGTGCAAAACTAAATCCTATCTACTTTGATTGTAAGAGGAAATGAGATCAAAGAAAAGTTAGTAATGCTAAATCAAAGGAGACGATGCTAGGACAAGAAGCTAAAAAAAAGGAAACCAAATCACAGAAGATTCAGCAGAAGCTCAAGCCAAGAAGACCAAGAAGGAAGGACGGAAGCAATGGGAGACAATTTGAGTGGGAAACACAACATAGTGGGAGACAATTGGAAGTGCTGCTCCTTTCTTTGATAAAACATGAAGCACTCCTTGGATTAATTAATCTACCCCACAAAATGGAGACAATTTGAAGTGTTGCTCATTTCCTCAATAAAGCATGGAGCATTCGACATGGAACAGAGCACTCCTTGGATTAATAAATCTAGCCCATCTCTCTTGAAGGAATCAAAAACACCTTTCTGGAATGAAATACCAATACACAACAATACTCGCCTATAAAATATGGCAAACTCAAGGATTGAATTATGCAACTACAAATACTGTCTTCTAAGTCTCTCTAGTTCTTAATACAAGCACTGTATTCTTAAGTCTACAAGTGTCATAAAAGATAGAAATAGTTAGAATACAAAAGAGAGTTGTGTCAATATCCAGAAATTATTGTTGCTAAACATTGTTGCTGGTGAACGAGATAAAACCATCACTATTGTAATTATTTATCAAGATCTAAGAGAACCATTGTGACCCAAGAAAAACTGGACGTAAGTACCACACCGGTACCGAACCAGTATAAAAACTGTTGTGTCTCATTTTGCTTTCAATTCATTGCATTCTTCTCTATCTTATCAATGTATTGTACGAAAACTAGTCGACTAAACTCAAACTTAGTCAACTAAGTTTTAATAGTCCACAATTCACTCCCCCCTCCCCTTTTACTTTCAATTGGTATCAGAGCCAGGCTCACAAACTTTGCTTAAAAGCTAGTGAGGAAAAGATCATGGGATCAAACACAGTCGTCGGTGCATTATTTCAAGAAAGAACCTCTCATGTATGACCTCCATATTTCAACGGACAATATTTTTCTCACTGGAAAGTTCGTATGGAAACATACACTATATCATATGACATCAAAGTTTGGCATGTTATCAAAATGGGAAATCTCCCAATTCCACCAAAGAAAGATGCAAATGATCAAGTCATTATATCAACTGATCCACTTGACTTAGATTATTACACTCATGAACAAGCTATTGTTATAACTGTGAATGCCAAAGCAAAAAATCTACTGTATAATGCTATCAGTGGAGAAAAGTATGACAAGGTTCCAAGCTGTGAAACTGCCAAGGAAATGTGGGATAAATTGGAGATCACATTTGAAGGAACCAACAAGTTAAAAGAAACAAGGATCAATCTTCTAGTTCATGACTATGAGCTATTTCAAATGAAGGATGGAGAATTAGTGAAAGAAATATTCTCCAGGTTCAGCAAAATCCTTGGAGATCTAAAATCCTTTAGTAGGCCAATAAAGAGCGAAGAACAGGTCAGAAAAATCCTTAGAAGTCTACCCACAATTTGGCAGCCCAAGGTTATTGCTCTAGAATGTCAGGACCTTGATAAAATGTCTTATGATGAACTTAGAGGTGATCTAATTACCTTTGAGAAAACTCACTTGGACAGGCAAATTCAACAATAAAAGAAGAAAACAGTAGCCTTTAAAACAACTGTGGTTGAACCAGAAAATGAAGAGGAAGAGGAAGGAGGAGAACGGGATGAAAATATAGCCATGCTTTCCCAAGTTGTAGCAAGCATGATGAGAAAGAACAGATATAGCAGAAGAGGAAAATCAAACTTCAGAAAAGGAAGGACAAATAATGAAAATGATAAAAATGATGGAAGATGCTATGAATGTAGAAAACATGGACACATTCAAGCTGATTGTCCTGTATTAAAGAAGAAACTCAACAGGAACCTTCAAAAGAAGAAGTTTTTTGGAGCTTGGAGTGATGAAGAAGAATCTGACCATGAAGAAATTGCAAATATGTGTTTCATGGCCATTAAAGAAGATAGCAATGAGGACTCAGGAGAGCTTGGGCTCATGAAAGACAAAGGAGTAGATGAGGAAGAAGGCTCAGGTGAACTTGGTCTTATGGAAGACGAGGGAACCAATGAGGTACGTCTTCCTACGTGTCCCAACTATTAAGAACTTCAAGAATTTGTTGATATTGCTCTTGCATATATTGAAAAAGTTTTAAATGAACTCAGAAAAATCCAAAGAGAAAAAAAAGACTGGGCCTTGAAGCTAGAAGTTTGTGAAATTGAGCGTGACATGCTTCAAGATAAAGTAAATGACTTCAACTTCAACTGAATGGATTATAAAAATCCACTAGTCATAGTTTCGTCAAATCAAATCAGATTACGCCTCATAACTCTTTGATTAGAACTAGAAACTCCCATGCATGCTCTAACTGTGGTAAAAATGGTCACAACACTAACCAATGCAGGAACAAAATTAGAGCAGAAAAAGGCTCTGAAAATCCCAATAATCCGTCGTGTGTTTATTGTGGAAAACGTGGTCACACTTCTAACCATTGCAGGTTCAAGGACAACAGGAGATGAGTCTGGCGACCTAAATCCTCTAGTCAAGCTAACACTCAGAAATCTAACCATTCAGGACCCAAACAGGCTTGGCTACCTAAAAACAAGTAATCTTGTTTTGCTGGAACACCTCAAGAAGAATCGAAAAGGAAAATGGTATCTTGACAGCGCGTGTTCTAGACATATGACTGGTGACAAACAATTATTCAAAACAGTCACCAAACTCGATGGAGGAACATTTACCTTTGGAGACAAATAAAAAAAACGTAATTGGAGTTGGAAAAGTTCCTCTAAGCTCAACATGTGATGTGCACAAAGTATACCTTATTGATGAACTCGGTTACAATCTTCTCAGTATTAGTAAACTATGTGACAATGATTATGAGGTTCATTTTCAAAAACATGACTGGTTTATAGAAGACAAATCAGGTAAAGTTATTCTTTCAGGTAATAGAAACATGAATGCCTATACTATCAGTAATGTAGATAGTCTTGGTAATCAAATTTGTCTTGCTTCTGTGATTGATGACCCTTGGGTTTGGCATAGAAAGCTTGAACATGCTAGCATGTATACTATTCAAAAACTTTCTAAACATGATCTTGTCATTGGTCTTCCAAAGCTAGATTTTTCAA